CAATAGATTTTGCATTTGTTTTCCTTTTTATCTTGTGCTCGAAGCTCTTTTCAAGACACTTAAAATCTATATTCCGTACAATAAAGTATTTAAAGTTGCAGTAGCAGCTGTATCATCGATTCCCCTTACTCTAGAACATTTACATGCATTGGTAACGCGTCCACCATGTTTAGATCAATCAAATCAAGTAAGACACCAGTAAACAAATTCATTTGGCGCGCACAAGTATTGAAAGGCCTGATGCAAAAGCATAATGAAGAAATAATGAGAGCCAAGGCATGTATGAAAGCCACCTCAACATCTCAGGAAACCCAATAATACACTATGGACGAATGGTAGAAGATGTCCCAAATTAATTATACCAATCCAGAAAAAGGATGGAGAAAGTAAGTACAAATAGAAAAAGCAAGAGAAATGTTCTACTACTGCTATTCCGCTGAATGGCTTGAGAGAGCTCCTTGTTACCCAGCTCAACATTTTTTGTAGCTTCTACTGCCTGTTTGTTAACAGCAAAGGAAAAGTGTAAATACAAAGTTTTTTTTTCTCTTTTGCAGCTGAAAATGCTCTCCAAAAACACTTTCAGCATATGCATTTTTTAGCTGACAGAGAAAAACATCTGACACAAATTTAAATCAATTAGTAGACAGATCTATAATCCAGAAGATAATCCAAGAATGAGCAGTATGGAAATTTCAAGTTAATCGGTCTTCTCAATACTTTGTCTGCAAAAAAGTAGACAAATTCTTAACATGACATGTTGAACTCAGACTAAATGGTGATGCTTCACGTGGCATACATAGCTTATCCACATTCAGTCTTGAGCACACACAACCAGAAGACATAACTCTCCCGATTAAGCTACCAATAAACCTCTCCTCTCCCAGCATAATCCAGCTTATCTTCTTTCAGTGGCTTATAAAAACTGCAATTATGTCAATTATGCGTTACTCCTAGGATTCGTTCAGTCAAGTATGCGTTACTCCACTAGTTGTAACATGTTATCCATAGTCTCTTTCTCCCAACAAATTCATGAGTATGCTATCCACCAACATAATCCAGTATTAACAGATATTTGCCGAATGACTTGCCGAAATGGCATGAAAAGAGCAAAATGCAGGATATGTTATGCTATTGATACTTCCATTAGGACTGGGAAGATCTCACCTGCTCATACAAAAGCTCTATTTGTTGAGCTTGTTGCAAGACATGAGTAGACATCAGGTGATTCAAGGCAGACATTTCAACCATTTTTTTCTCAGTTTCTTGTGCCGCATCCAGAAGGCTGGACAACTCAACCTGCACCAATATGCATGCAACAAAGCAAATGCTAAGTTATCCATCTTAGAGACATTCCTGGTAAAAAATAAAAATAGACTCCAAATTTTCATCCCCAGTCGATATGGGTATAACCTGGAGGGCACGTGTTTCATCATCCAAAAGTTGCTCTTGAACCCTAATAGGACCTGGTTGAGCTTCTTCAGACTCCCTGACCTCTTTGTCATATGTCTCTCTGGGTCCAACATTACTTGATCTGGCAACTTCTTTTACTTCTTCTGTGCCAGCTTGCCTCCGCTTTCTTCTTGGGGTTACTCGATTAATAGCATCTTGGAAGCGTACAGCTCTCAGCTTGTCAAAATGTGATGTAACTGAATGAAGCTTTTCACTTAGAATCAAAACCTATGCAATGGAATGGAAAGGATGCAGAAAGTCAAATGAGGACTCCATGGAGAACAGAAACTAAAACAACACACCTGAAAGATTAAATATAAGCTTCTCATGTATCTAAAGCCTTATATGTCATGTACTTCACATACACATTTGACCAGCACAACTTTATCTTCAACATACAACATTACAGAACTACAAAAACTTAAGCAGCTTTTCTATTTCAATCCTTCTTCAGGAGATGCAGGATTTGTCCTTTTCATAACTGTGCATACAAAGGTGTACAGTGATGCATGATAAGAGATTGGATACAGACAATTCTCACCACTTTGGACACAGGTTTTAAAACATCTTCAGTTTGAACAATTACTTTCATTGTCATTGTGGTTCCAGCCATAACCAGCCCCCCAAATTACTTGTATTTCATCTCAGAGAATAGATTATGCACCATCAACCCACACCCAGCAAACAGGACAATAAAAGGGAATAAAATGGTCTCCAAAAAGAAATGCGTTGATCTCTAACCAGACAGAACAGCAAAAGTTGTGTGCATACCACTCCATGTTTGTGTGCGATTGTGTCAGCGTTCAAATTGTCACCCTTGATACCAAGCCAGCCCCTTGAATTTGTTTCTTCATCATTTATACTATTCTTAAGAACATCTATTTGCTCTTTGCATGCTTTAATGAAAACAGTAACCTGCAAAAGCAAATGTGTTAGAAAAACTATTCACTGGGGATCATACAACAACATTTCATCAATCTACACTGCTCCAATTAGCTCAGTTGATACAATATAAGCACATTCGATAAAAGGTCTTTGAATATATTCATATACCTTTTACTTTAAAGTGTCATGGAAGCACAGACCAACTTTCTAGGACTAAGAACTTCTATCTGTACATAAGACACTCTTTAGAAGTTACAGAACTTCAAGTTATCACAATTTAGTAGGCCTCAAATGAGATTCAATTCCCACAAACCCCATTCAATTTAAGATCCAAAAATGCAAGATCATTTACAAGGACAATCCTCCACCATCCCAAGAACCATTGGATAATTTAGGATCTGAAACTCGAAAGAAAAAGAATGTACCTACAATAGGTGCTAATTCTGGAAACATTCCAATAGAATCTCCATGTCTATCCACATAGTTCCATTATTTCAACAAACCACCCATAGATCAAAAAGTAGCATTACTGCCATGCATAACTTTTATTTAAGCAAAACTATTACTACTACAAAAAGACAATAAAGTACTAAGCAAAATCATTCAGTAAAACTGGAATGTATTAACTACATTTGAAACCTTTCTATTTCAAAACTACTAAAACTAAAGCACGCCAAATGAATGGTGTTCAAAAAACTTACTTCATGTTCAATGCTATCTCTCTCTTGTTCAGTGGTGCGGTGCTGATCTAAATAATCCTTCTTATGCTTCATTAAGAAGTGTTCCAGTGCTTCAATGCTTCCAAGCTAGACAATAATTTAGAAAACTAGTTACATAAACAGGAAGCAGACACAAAGATTTTATATGTATTTCTACCTCAAATACATCATAGGCAAGACACAATTACAAAATAAAGCAGAAGAAATGAAGTATTTGTAGTTAACAATTCATTACCGTTTTCAATGCAGCTTTCATAAATGAAGTCCTTTCCCAAGGTTTGTGCATAATAAAAGATGACAAAATAGCTGCTGTTTTGGCCTGTCAACAAGAATCCAACCTCACATAAAGACAACCTTGACTATGAACAAATCAGAAAAAGCATCCAAATACTAGTGTAAGGTTTATAGTCTGAATTCCAAATAATAAAAGAAAAGATGCTGGACTGACAATGCATGGTTAGAGAAATAAAAAGAAAATTGACAGCTATATTTAGATAGTTTCAGTCAAATTAATTCTTATAGGATTTTATTAAACTGTAACAGAACAATGCGACACAAACTTGCAGGCAAACCATCACTGTTCGAAAGTACATTTCCAGCCACAAAAGTTAAAGCCTTTGCAACTATATTTTCTCTTTGGCAAATTTTATGTAAGAGATAAGGCCCACAAAATTTATGAAGCAAAACAATTGTCTATCTAGACCACAAAGATTGCTACTTTCAAAGTGGTTCCATGACATCTTGGCATGTCAACATAGAATAACAAAAACAAAAACTTGCACTGGAAGAATGCAGCATCAATAGATGACAAGGGCTATGTGATTGTAAGCAATAAGCATTCGAGCTGAAATTCTTCCTACATCTGGATAAACAAGTAACGATTACAGAAGTTCAATTTCTGTGTAAGCATCGATAACCAGACAGACTAAGATGGAAGTGGATCGCAAAGATTTAATGAACCTCAGTGAAACCCAATGAAACAGCCGAACGACGGACAGCATCCCTGAAATCTTCAGTTCTATCTCTAGCTTTCGCCATTCCTTCAAAACCAAAAGCAAGCAACATCAGGGAAAAATTACCCAATAACAAAACGAACAAAAGAATACCCAAATGAGATGTAACTAACCCGAAACTAAATTAAGAGAATGCAGTAACAAGCTTAACATCAAAGGTCAAGTACATTAACCTTATTCATACTCCTTACAAAATCCTAAGTTCCAGTTTCTCGCACCCAAATCGGATTGTAATCGCCAAAAATGAGAACCATACCAGATTTAAAAATTTTAATGCTATTACAATTGAAAGAATTACACAATTGATACTGTCAAGCACGTCCTACCTAAAAAACCAAACAAAAAGAGCCCTAAAAGCTGGGAGAAGGGGGGGAAAAGGATAATTTATCAAAACAAAATGAATTTCGCAATACTTACTGGAAAATAAAAGAAAAGAATGAATACTGCGGCAGGATCAAGTGCTCAGGACCTTGGATCGAAGTGAATGGCGGACACAGAAGAGCAAATTGTCCAATTATTTCGCTTCAAAAGAAAATCGGAGTGGCAATCGTATATTTTGTAGAGCCTTTCACCAGCATAATGATACGACGCCGTAAATCAAAAGTCAATTGCAGTAATAGTGACGAAGTTACCAGCTGAGAATGCTGTATGAAAACTAAAAAGGAATAAATAAATTTGGCGCCCGGGGGCGGTAATTGGGAGTAATCAGCGTTGGCGGTATTGTCGCCGGTGCTGAAGAATCCGGCGAAGAGGAAAAAGGAAGAAGAGAAGAAGTCTCGACTGTAAGTGCAAGGAGGAGGAGACTCGTTCCCTGTTGCGGTTGAGTGTTTTGCTTTTTCACCCCCTCCAAAGAAAGTGGAACGAAGTCGTTTGGAAGAGTTACTTACACATGCATTATTTATTTATTTATCTATCTATTTTATTCTTTGGCAACGCTGGCATTATTAGTCGAACCGGCAACCGGCAAGGACATTTGCTTCTCCAGTTTCGCCAAAATGGCTCTTTCAGTATTCTGCCGAAAGTGGAGATTCTGTTCTCTACCTCCACCAGTGGTACCATGCCGGAGTTTTCGATCGGACGCAGCTCTTGAAGCCCTATCCAAGGCCTCCGAAGCCAAAACCCCAAGCGTCCTCGTCCTCTATAACTATCCTTCCTTCTCCGGTGCCTTCTCCGCACTCTTCGCACATCTCTACCACTCCCGCCTCAATCTCCCTTGCCTCATTCTGCCTTTCTCGTCCGCCATTCCCTTCCGGTAAAACTAATACTACTATACTCGCACTCCCTCCATGTTGACTTTTTTATGCCAAACAACTCGAACGCAAAAAAAAAAAAAAATGGTTAATATGTCTTGTATTTTTCAGTAATCATTTTTTTATATACAGGGTGGAAGATGTGTGCATTCAAGGACTTAAAGAGTGCTACTTTCTTGATTTTCTTGGCCCAAAAGGTTTTGCTTTAGAGCTTTTCAAGCAAACATCTTGCAAGTATGTCTTTTTTTCTGTTTTCCTTTTCTTTCAATTCGAGTTCTTTTTTGCGAAGAAATTTCCTGAAAATATAAGTTGAGTCTAATTGTTGTTTTAATTAGGGTAATAGGATTTGATCATCGTAAGTCGACGTTGGCGAAGATTCCTGCTCCTAAGGAAAATTTGAATGAGAACCTTGCGTTACATGTCAATCTTGAGAAGAGTAGCTCCTTTGCTGTCTATGAATATTTCTCTTCTAAGCTTTCAGAAATTGTCTCGGATGATGTAAGTATTACTGCTTTGCAGTATTATGTTTATATACTTGTCTTTTTACGTAGATTTTTTGACACAGTAGTTTGGATAAAATAATAGGAGAACAGTATAGGTCTGATAGATCCTAAAGACCGAGAGCGTGTGGAATTGGTTCTCAAGTACATTGAAGATGGAGATCTTCGTAGATGGAGTTTGCCAGACAGCGAAACATTTAATGTTGGTATTCGTGAATGGCGCTCGAAGCTCAACTGCATCACTAATCCACAGATGTATAAGCAGGTTTGACTTAGAAGTGACTCAAATTGTTGTAAAGTTTGCAATTATTGTTGGTTTCCCATTCTCTGGGTAGCTCAGAGTTCAAAGTTAATCTTATTTGGGGGGTTACACACTGACACTGGCTTTTGAGGTCATTGCCTAGTGGTGAAAAGGACTTCAAGTCTGCTAATTTTTTGTATTACATTGAGAACAAGTTGGTTTTTGTCTGATTTTATGTGGGTTTCTCATCATTTCTGTCAAAAGAAGAAATCTAAGGCCCCGTTTGGATTGCAATTTTCCTCAGAAAAATTACTACATTTTCCGTGAACACATTTCCCTATCACCTTTTTACCTCACATATACCAAATCGCTACAGTAATTTTTCTACAAAAAATCCAGAAAAATAAGTGGCATAACCTTTCTCTTGGTAGCCATGTGCATCTTCCTTTCATTAAGGCACCGTTTGGTTTGAAGGAATGGAAGGGAAAGGAAAGGGTATTAATGGAAAGTGATTTCCATCTATCTTGTTTGGATTAAGTATGAGAGGAAAAGAAAGGAAATACTAAATTTTTGTTTGGATTGAAGAAGGAAAAGAAAGGAAATGAAAAGATCAAGTGTTAATTTACAGGAATATAGGGAAAAATTATCTTTTAAAAAAATTAAAATTATTTCAATTAATTTAGTTTCATTTCCCTCCATTTCTGCCCACTTTTGGGCAGAGACCATAACTCATAAAAATAACTAGACCCTTTCCCTCCCTATCCTTTCCTTTCCCTCCTCAAAAATCAATCCAAACAACAAAAAACGAAATCCCTCCAATTCCTCTCCTTTCTTTTCCCTCCCGTTTTCTCAATCCAAACGGTGCCTAAAAATAATTTTAGGTAGGAAGCACTCTTTTTTTTTTTCTCTTTTTTCTTCAAGGCTCCATAGTACTAATCAGGATTGAAGTATATGCTTTCTGCATTGTGTGTTCCTTTATGCATCAAATTCAGCAGGTTTAAATTTTTCTTCAAAAGTTTAACTTAGTCATACCAATTCTCTTTCTGTGACAGTTGATGGAGATGAGTGCCATGGATATAATTGCTGGAGGCATCTCCTCTGTGTCTACTCGACAGATTGCTGCAAACAAATTGTTGGATAAGGTTTTCAAAGTTCGGTTGGGCAGAGGCTTGTATGGGGAATGCCTGGTAAAAATAAAGTTATCATCCTTCAGGTTCTTTTTTGCCTCAAAAGCTTTGGAATAAGAGTCTTGATGAAATATGATATTTGTTATTTGTCTGACAAAAATGATGGATCTTACCTGAGAATTATAATAAAGCACAATTACCTGCATCATAGCCATGTTCTTCACATATACTTTCATAGTGGAGATTTTGGAAAAGTGCATGTCGCTGGATTTTTACTCTGTGAGCATGAGCATAATTTTCTAACTTCTGCTAGCAGAGAAAATCGCTCTTCAGAAATGTTTGTAGATTTATTTATTTGATTTGTTTTCTGGTAATTTATGTACACTTTTTAACTCCTTTATTTTTTTTAGGGGGTCAGACTTTATGGTAGTTCAGATTTAATTGATGAGATTGGCAAGGAACTTAGCAGAAGAAGTGCTGTGGCTGGACTAAGGTAGTATCTTAGTAAAGTCTTCTTTTCATTCATTTTTATTGTTTCTGGTCTAAGAAGCTAAATGCAGAGTGTTTGATTTACTTTGTTAGTACTTTTCTGGTATATCACGCTAGTATTGAGGTTTTTGAAGTATTCCTGGTTTATGAAACTGCCCTGTGGTTTGAAAACTATTCCTTACGGTGTTTAATTTTATCATAGGAAAAAACCTTGTCCAGCAGGACTAGTTAAGGAATGGTGGTGTAATTGTAGTGTGCACATACACTATCAATTCTTGTTCTCTATTCTGATCTGGATCTTTGGTGTTGATTCAGGTCTATAGGAGCTGTTGTTTACATGCAACGAAACAATCTTAAAATGTGTTTGAGGAGCATGGATGTCAATACTGATACTTCCGAAATTTCTAAGGTGTGCTTGGTGATTGTAAAAAACTTAGACTGCTGGTTGTCTTGTGAAATACTCCTCTGAAGCTTCTTTGTATTTTCAAATATGAAGGCTTGTGGTGGAGGTGGCTCTCCAGGTTCCAGCTCCTTCATCATCCGGATGGATGAATATAACAAATGGCTCTCATCATGCTCATCCTGAGCTTATTAAGGTACAGAGATGAATTTTCATCCTGTAATATAAATATTTATTTTCCAAATCCCAAACTAGGCTTAAAGAAGTTGAATGACATTGTTGGAAGGAAATGGCTGTACAATTAGTCGAACCAGCAACCGGCAAGGACATTTCCTCATGAAGCTTAGCCCAATGGCTCTGTCATTGTTCTCCCTTCCACTGTCCCCCACGACCACCAGTGCTACCATGTCGGAGTTCTACATCGTAGGCCAAAACCCCACATGTCGTCATCTTCTACAGCTATCCTTCTCCTCACTCTTTGCACACCTCTACCACTCCCGCCTCAATCTCCCTTGCCTCATTTTGCCTTTCTATTCCACCATTCCCTTCTGGTAAGACTAATACTACTATATTCACATTTCCTCCAAGTTGATTTTATTGTCCCAAAAAAAATGAAAAAAAAAAAAGGCTAGCATGTCTAGCAGTAATATATTTCACTAATCAGTTTCTTTCATATAGTGTGGAAGATGTTTGCATTGAAGGACTTAAAAGAGTGTTACTTTCTTGATTTTCTTGGACCAAAAGGTTTTGCTTTAGAGCTTTCAACATTTCCAAAGCTTTTCTTGGACCAAAAGCATTTTTGGCATAGAAGTTGCATAAGAATAGGATATCATAATACATCAAAGCAGCTGATTGACATATTTTTCCTACTTAATTGGGATTGCTATGGGCTTTGAGATTTCTTGGAGGTTTAGCATCAGAATGTTGAAGAAATAGTTGTGTACTAAATGTAAGATACCTAAAGTCCTCTGTGTTAATGAAAAATCCGATGAGGCTACAAATGCAGATGATGTGTATGATCACTTATGCATTAGTGCACTGGACAACCTTCAACTGCTATGCCTTTGGCTGTTGGACATGCTGCCAATTCACAGTATTCCCCATTTGTACCCCACCAAGTCACTCCTTTATTGTCCATTCCGAGTGTGAAGTATAGCAGCATGCCCATGAAATCTATACCAGCATCCAGAGCTGCTGAAAGAATGTAATTGTACCTTTGCCACCACTGCTTTCGGTAATGGAAGACAAAATAGTTGAAAATGAGCCCTACTATGATCTAGGCATTGTAATTTAATCGTGTTGCTGGTGGGATGGCACCTCCTCCTCCCAGAAGGACTGGAAGGTTTATTAGAGGAATCCAAGAATGCTTTGGAAATGCCTTGTGGAAGAGCCAAACTATAGTAGATCCCAGGGCCCCTCGAAGAAAAAACCAATTCATTTCAGAGTAGTTTCCTAGAGTTCCAAAAATCCTTTTAGGTCCAACCAAACCCCCTATGACAGATGCATCAAAGAACGCCCTATCTCCAGGGTATGTCCATGGACTATCTGGTGGAAGGAGGTCATCCTGGCAGATGTTCTCAATGGGGTGCAGCTGCCACCATGCCACAGGTATGTTGATAGTGCCTGCTATAATTGTTCCTATGAACTGGATCCACCCAAGAAAGAATTATAAAACCTGATGGTAATATTTCTGTAAAATATGATTTTAACTGCCAACGAAACAGCTTTTGCTACAGAACTCCTTGTTCTTGCATGTTCGCCTGGGCAGAGGGTTGCATGGTGAAAACAAAGCTATCTTCCTTTAGTATTTGATTGCTGCATTTTATTGTCAACAGTATTTGTAATGCAAATCTTGATTAATTTGATATCTGTTATTTTTCTGACAAAATTGATGGATCTTCCCTAGAAATTATAGAAGTTATCTGCATCATAGTCTTTTTCCTCACATATACTCTCACACTGGAGATGTTGGGAAAGTAAATTTTGTTAGATGTCTACTGGTGCGCATAAACATAATCTTTTGCCTTCTGCTAGCAGAAAAAGTCTCCTTGCTTTTAGTCTTGCTGCATTGAGAAGGAATTGACAATTCTAACTTGTTCTCTTTACCTCAATCTCTTCCTATCTGTTACTATGTCATTTAAATTGCTTTTTAAAGATTGATTTTATAGTCCTGTTAGAGCTTTTATTTGTTAGAGAATGAATTTCAGTCATTGATGAAATCTCCATGTTAACAGGGCAATGGAAATGTGGTGTAGCTGATCCCCTACTTTGATATATATACCGTAGTTCAATAAGTCACATCAATTGTTTGTGAAATGTCTTAGTTGAATGGCAATTGGAAATGCATGCCTAACCCTATGTCAACAATTGTCTTTTAGAAACTTTTGACATAGATGTTGCAGATTCTATTTTGATTGCAGAGTGTTGACCAAAAGAATATGACATCTTAAAGTCAAAGCAACTGAATAACATATTTCTCCTACTAAATAAGAATTGATGTGGCCTTTGACATTTCTTGGAGGATGTTTAACATCAGAGTGTTGAATAAATAGCTTGTGTACAAAATATTAGATATCTAAGGTCTTCTCTGTAAATGAAGAATCCAACCATCCACATAGTGTGTTCTGCAAATTTTCGAGACCACAAGCAGAGATGATGTTTGTAATCATTTATCCATTAGCGCACTGGACAACCATCAACAGTTATGCCTTTGGCTGTTGGACATGTTGCCAAATCACACTGTTCCCCCTTTGTACCCCACCAAGTAACTTCTCTATTCTCCATTCCCACTGTGAAGTATAGCAGCACAGCCATGAAAGCTACACCAGCATCCAGAGCTGCTGAAAGAATGTAATTGTACCTTTGCCACCACTGCTTTCGGTAACGGAAGACAAAAAAGTTGAAAATGGTTCCGACTATGATCCAGGCATTGTAATTTAATGGTGTTGCTGGGGGCATGGCACCTGTTGCTCCCAAAAGGACTGGGAGGTTAATTAGAGGAATCCAAGACTGCTTTGGAAATGCCTTGTGGAAGAGCCAAACTATAATAGGTCCCAGGGCCCCTCCAAGAAAAAACCAATTCATTTCAGTGTAGTTTCCTTGAGTTCCAAAAATCCTTTTAGGTCCAACCAAACCCCATATGACAGATGCATCAAAGAACACCCGGTCCCCAGGGCATGTCCATGGACTATCTTGTGGAAGGAGGTCATCCTGGCAGATGTTCTTAATGGAGTGCAGCAGCCACCACGCCACAGATACGTTGATGGTGCCTGCTACAATTGTTCCTATGAACTGGATTCACCCAAGAGGAAATAAGATATCCTAATGTTAATACCACCTTAAGTATGATTCAAAAGAAAAATTGAACAGTTTTGCTACAGAATTCCTTGTTCTAGTATGTTTTCTGAGATGACTAGCTGTGTAATTATTACTTCTGATCGTAGTGTACATTTTGTTTTTTCATTAAAGCAAAGCAGCACTTTCTTTGTTTATACATGCCGTATTTGTGTGATTTATAGATGCTATTTTCATTGGTAGTCTTATCAATTTTCTTTGTGCCACCCGTCTGTTTGGGTTCAAAATCCTTAAAAAGGTTTATTTCCTTTAAGCATCTTTGAGATGAAATGATCTCTGCCCTTAGTCCTAGTTTTGAATAAGGTTTATTAGTTCCAAAAGTCATTGACATCTTAATTAAATTAAGTATGCCCTTTGACAGGCATCATTAATGCCAAAAAGAAGATTGACATACATGAAGTTTCCAGGCATGTCTTTAGTAGCAGTTGCATCCCATAGACTTTATTATACCATAGGCATATTTGGAAGATTACAATACCCTCTGTTAAGTATTGGCATATTGATAATTAGGGTTTGAATACAGAAAGTCAGTAACCTCATAAACATAGACCCCCTTAGGCTTACATGTGAGCAAATATCAGGCTCTTTGCTCAGAATTATGAACAGTGTCAGAAAGGGAGATGACTGTCAATAAAACATAGCGACAGAATTACATGGGAGATCGCTATAACTTTATAAACTTTAAGGGGTGGTACTTCAAAGTAAATTATGGGGGCAAAAGTGACCTATGCATCTAAGTGAACTGAAAGCTTCTCTAGGTCTGTATTAGTTACAAGAGCATGTCAAAAGTACTTAGTAGACCTCAAGATGTTCATTGGGACTAACTACACTATGGAGAAAACAGAGTCCTCAGTTTGTTAATTATATGGCATTGCAAAAGTACTCTAGATATGATCATGATGTGCTTTCATTTGGATGATAGAGCTTTAATTGTAGCATTCTTGCTAAGAATGTAAATGTAATCTACCTGGACTAGAAACATTGATCGCGGGGGAATCTTCATGTAGTGGCCCAGCTTGAAATCGCTGAGGAATGAGACTGCCTGGGCCATGCTCATGTAACCATAAACTTTAAAGCAAACATTGGCAATCGGTCTTCCTGGATATATTATACCCATTATGTACTCTGTGATTATGTTCAGGCCAGGAGTCTGCAAATCAATCTCTACAATGTCAGCAAGATACAATGATCTGTAAAGCAAACCAAGTTTTTTTTTCTTTTATATTACCTGGTTTGTGGTGGCAGTTATGATGCTGATTGGAAGCGTGAAGACAAAGGCCAAGACACTAGCAAAGAGGAGACCCCACCATGGCATCTGAACTTGTTTGTTCAAGAAAATGCAGAGTATTAGCGAGACTAATAACGTTATAACGAGCAAGACATGAAACCACCATGAAGGTATGTCCTTGTATCTCCTCATTAGTCTCGTGTGTATATCCTCCTTTTCTTTGTACGAAGCACGGAATCTTTCATAAATTTCCCTGCAGTATGTATGGTTAAGTTTCAGTATTTTCCCAACATTGTTGAAATAACAATAGTAACAAATCAATTTGAATGAAATGTTTTCAACACATTGAATTCTCTGTTCTAAAGGAATATTTGCTGCAAAATTTTAATCAAAAGAGTGAGTTGTAACATTTCATATTTATTGGATTCTGCGTCAATGCCAAAATAAGATACTTAGGTAAAAGGTGGTATGAATTTGAAATTCGCCACTATAGTTTCACCATTCTGATTAAAAATCTTTTGAAAGCAGAACTCCAAAAATTTAAAGTTGCTGTTGAAGATAAGGCAAAAACAAGTTAGACAAAGAAACAGTTAAAGGCTCGGAAAGTCATTTTTGAAAGAATGGAAAATATATCTAAATGAATCTTCTTTGCAAGTGCTATATTGATATATTAGACTAGGAAAAGGGTGTTAATGAATGGAAAATAAGAGAGAGGTTCAGGCTTAGTATTACCTTCCATAAAAGAAACCCACATGTGTAAGAGTGGATGCGATAGTGGCAAAACCAAAACCATAAGTTAGAGCAAAGAACATGCTCAGATGTATCCTTCCTTGCTCCTCGTACTTGTTCAAATCGAGCTCAAAGTTGTCATTTACTATCGCTACTATGTCATACTTTTGACCTTTGTCTGTGAACAAGTGTGATGAGAAAATGGGAAATCTTTTAGCACTGTACAAGTCAAGGCCCCAGTAGGCAACGGGGATGACTATGTAGAGTATCAACACATACCCCACGAGAATGTTGACAATGGAAAAGAAAGGACTAATTAGGGGGCTGAACAGGAAGGATGCAACAACAGACCAATCCAGTGTTAATGCTCCTATACCAAGGCCCCTCATACCAGAACCTATTTGCTGGGCAGTGACTGACTTGGAGAATACCCAACAGACCCATGAGATGCTGGAGAGTGTTGTGAAGAGGTATCCCGGGAACAGGTACCAAGAAAAGCTGCAGATCAGTGCAACTAGGAAGAATTTTGCCCTCGTCATGCGCTGCTCATCTTTTTCATGCAAGGCCCTGCAAAAGAAAAATGAATGTTATTTAACTTGTTTCAGAAAAAGAATTGCATTGTGTAGATTGTGAAAATGTTGTTGAGAATAGGCAGTCAAGACAAAATGAAAATAGGGAGATACATTGCCGGTTATAAAATGAGTTAATTTGTGGTATCTGTCAACAACTAGTGCTTGAACAATCTCGGATGCGGTTTACGATGAGGTGAATATTTGGTTTGTACTACTCCTTGTAATTGCTGTAAATGCCTAGCATATTTGCTTATCCGTTTTCCTGCTAACGCAGAAATGATGATGTTAATTTGGCGATAAGAACTACTCGTTGCAACAATTATTATGTGATGTATTGTGGTTTCTCGTGCTGTAGGCTTGTGGCCAACCATAGATGCCTCTCAGCTAGCTCATAGTACACTGTTCCTCTTAAATCATCCAGACAATTTGCTGCAATCAGCAAAGAGATATGAATGGTTCTCTGGGCACTACAAAGCCCTAAACGGAGGAGTCTCAACTCAACAGATGGGATTGATTCAAAGTTTTTCATTTCTCTCAACAGATGGGAAGTTCAAATGCTGAAACTGGAAAGCTCATAGAATAGAAGTGCTAATTTTTTATTAACCTCTTGTACAGTACTTGATGATATTAAGTGGAGGGAAGGTCTTCTAAATTTCTAATAAACAAAACAAAATTCTCTGACTGAGCTACCAAGTTGTCAAGACAGCAAGAACGCTGAATTGAGTGCCAATCTGTACAAAAAATTTGGTAGTCTTGTGCAGTTTATGCTATCCTTGCATGTATGTACTACCCTCCAAGACTAAACTCCAAACTTACTGAAATCCTGCCTTGCAGCATCAATACATTCGGCACAGACCAAAGCTGCATCACTTCAACCATTTAATCCCATCTCTCAGTAGTCAGTACAATACGATACACACAGCATTGTCCGTCCTTACCATTGGATAACTCAATCTAAAAGAAAGCCAACTAAGAGCTATTCGAACCTCTAACTAATTCTAAAGCTCCAATTTCAAAGTTTATACGTCAAGTTGTCCAATGTCCAGCTCCTCTTTTTTGTTTCTTTCTTACAATTAGTAATATTATAGCCGTAGATAATAGATATCCCATCCCAGCTTTTCTAATTAGTTGACCCTTTACTTACTTTTTTACTTTTTAGTTGACGTCTAAAGGTAAAGGGTCGCATGTGCAAGTTGGGAAACCAGATGACGAGCTATGAGCAGCTTAGCTGTAAAATTGTACTCAAATGGGAACATGCGGCTGAGAGTCGCACGTGACGGCCGACGAGACAGTCACCTCAAAATCCAGAGGTCTTTAAGCTTTTTCCAATCGCATTATTGGATGAGAGACACTACTACTGTGTCGGACGTGCAATCCAACATCTCGGCCTGCATTTCTTCCGGCCGCTAGAGTCATGTCATATGCTTGTTTGGTTTGTAATTTTTCCTTAAAAAAATTTTAGATTTTTCTTAATTATATTTTTATCTATCTCATATACATAAAATTACTATAATACATCATCATTCTATAAAAGTTTCAAAAAATAGCAATCTACAAGTCCTTGTAAACCATTCATTGCACTTACTAAAATCGTAGGACAACCATCATGTACTAGTTAGTAAGTAGTAATAACTAACAATAGCGATATCATTTATTATAAATATATTTTTCAATTAATTTTTATATTTTCGATCACTTTTCGTTTCATCATATTACAAAAAGAAGTACTCGCTAGAGTGTTAAATAAATAAATGGTACGAAGGTATGACTAGACAAATCCTAAAATGATATATGTTAGCATTTTATGAGGTCAAGTCCTAGTGATCTTCAAACAAGCAACTTGTGTTAGCATCTTGTTTAATAACAACTTCCTCAATGCATGATTTTGTAATTAAGGTTGCCGACTTCTTTTTGGCGGAGAAAGAGAACAAAAATGAAAAGAATTCATCGTGCTTTTTGGCAGCTTTTCTTCTTGTTGATTGTGAAATGCGAAGCCCCCCGCACATGGATAGAAAAAGATTCTTGGGATGGAACGAAAGAAAATCCAATTTGGTTGGGCAAAAAGTGATTATTAAAAGCTTCAGCCCATCAAGATCGAGGCAGGTCTCAGGACTAAGGTAGGGAATGATGGAGCAATCAATTAATAATTCAACAGATTAGGGGCAGCAACCGGACAGGAGCCGCGAAAAGCGATAAGAAAGAAGGGGGGCGGCGCGGGGGGAAAATACAACTTACCGGAACAGTGAAACTTGCACAAGGGTGTTGGGCCACCACATGTGGGCTGGCTCCACCACATATTTCCTCAGCAGTCCAGCCCACCCATAGCCTAATACCTGTAGATTCCATTCCACATCATTAGATTTAGTGCAGTCACTTCCAAAACCAAAAGATGATACGCTGCCGCATATTTTACCTAATCAACTAATCATCAATTCGTACGTAGAAGATGAGAAAATGGATTCTGAAAGCATGTGTTAGGTCTTTAGCTTTCCATCATCTTTCAAGATTCTTTTGAAAATAGCTTTCTTGCTAGTGCTTTATATATCAACGGCTTCCACCAACCGTCCCCCTATCGACCCCATTTACATAAAGATTACACAAAAAAAAAAAAAAAAAAAGTTCGCTGTCAAATTGTTTCACTCGAGATACTTAAAAGTTCTCGCAGGCTCCCTTGTGGAGGTTGAAGTCCCACGTCGGGGTTTAGGGGGTTTGGGGTAGAGTAGATAAGTCTCCTGTAAGACCCTCAAAAGTTGCCGGCTTTTGTGAGTTTTCACGGGGATAGGTTTGTCCAAATATCAAAAGTACTTTGGGCTTGAAAAAAATAGATACTTAAAACTAAGAGACAAAAGCAGGAAATCCCAAAAAGAAGGCTAGGAAAGATAACTTTTGCATGAAATAAAAAAATTGGGAAGATTAGCAAATTGTCTATGTTCAAATTTGAGTCAGACAAGTTTGTCCAAACCAATTAAGTTGTTGGCAGTTGGGACAAAGCTTTTGGCGGAGAAATCAAGAAAAAGAATTCTACACCATATGATACGAGAGAGACATAGAGATGAGTACAAGTTACCTGCGTGGTGATAATGAGTAGCCAACCAGCCAAAAAGGATATCTTCCTCTTGTAAAAGGCTATGATAATATTGATAATGCTAACCGCATAAGCTGAACCATTCCCAAATGCAGCACCAGCATTAGCAAAGATGGTGATGAGGACATGCTCCTTCATGTTAAACGGGCCTGGATTGAACGAGAACAACCTCTGCCCAAACCCCGGTAAACGGAACTTTTTTTCCGGTAAGACGGCGGCCATGAAGTGTCCGATAGGCAGACTGGCCACTTGGACCGTAATCTGGGATATAATCAGTGGCTCTGTCCTGTAAGAGAAGAACTGGTTGAGAAACGATAGTAGAGCACATGATAGCAGGCCCAACAACCACATCCGGAAGGTCCATACGGGTAGGGTTGGGTCGTCATAGTTGGTCACGGTTAGCCGGACTTCTTCAATGGGCGAGTCATCCTCGTCTTCATATTTTTGGTGGTGGTTGTTGGTGGTGGTGGTGGTGGTGTTTAGTGATTCCACCTCCAAAGTTCCCATGGGTGGGAGATCGAACTACAGAAATGTAAGGAGGAGGATTCGGGACTGGAAAGAAGGGATGGGTTTTTTCTTTACAACCTCACCGCTATTTAATGTATATCATGCATGTGGCGCAATTTGAGTTGGGTACGGGGTGGTAAATACAAGAGCGTGCAGGGATGCTGGGAGGTAAGAACAGGAGGATAAGATTATACAGGTCTAGTGGGCGGATGTATAGATTATTAATCTTTGGCCATTTGTTCATTGGTACGTACGACACAATAATTCTTAATTCGGCCACCTTGGATGTTAATTGTGACAATTTCTTAATTTTATGACAAGATATTTAATAGTAGCATGTCCGACTCTTAGGGATGCAACCAATTGGAGCATTAATATAATTAATTTTTAGCACTTGTCATGTAATTGGTGCATTGTGTGAGAAGGATGGGTCGGGTGGTTTGAGGAAGAGAATGTAAGTGAGAGATCTCGAATTCAAACAATTTGGTGCAGATGGAGATAAAATTTCCCTAGTTTAGCTACTAATAGATGTGAATTCTTTATATAAACTTTTTTTTTTTTTTTTATGATGTAAGTAGGAGGGTTTGAATCTGAGACCTCTCACCTACACTCACTATTCTTGAACCACAAATCCACATGAATTGTTTATATAAGAGATTTTTTTTCTTTCTTTTTTTTGATAGTGTAAATGGAAGAATTCAAACATGGGATCTCTCATATAAACTCTTTCTCTCTGAACCGTCCAACCCATTCCTCCCCATTTATAAAAAAAAAATTGATTGCATCTTTGAGATGAAGACACTTTCTATATTCACAATTTACAGCTGCTGTGGATATGTTGAATCTTCTCACCATTAACCTAAGCTAGTTTTCAATTATTGAAATGTCATTAACATCTGAATAGAATCAGCAAATAACATCTCTAGCTCAAGACGTCTCTTAAGAATGTACGTGGGTCTTTAATTATCATGCGCTGTTGAAATCTAGTACTCGAGCTCATGTTTGCCATCTTCGCTCGAGTCCATAAAGAAAAAAACACAATAAATTTTCATCCAGGGTTAAGTTGAAAAGAATCTGCTTTTACTATGTTAAGTTACTCAAACAGTACACATGGAACTAGAGCCTGAAACTTGATCAATCCTGCGCAAGTTACGAATTGCTAGCATCATGTGGCGGGTTTCTGTTTTAGCGCTTAGAACATATGGTGCAATATTGGATCTAGGGCTACACGCGAGCAATTTGAATCCGAACTCGAGTCGAATTATCTTCACCTCGTTAATTCGCAAGTCGGCTCGATTATATATTTTTTTTATTTTTATTTTAATAATAAATTTATATATTTTTTTAATATTTTATTATTTATTAAATAATTATTATTTTATTTATTTTTAAAATTAAAAATAATTATTTTATTATTTTTTTTAAGTTCGAACTCGACTCGAATTTGAGTCAAGCTCGAACTCAAATTTTACGTTGAAAGCTCGACTTTCATAAAACTATGTTGATATATGATTCGATTAGATCAAAACTCGACTCGACTCGTTTGCATCACTAATTAGTTCAATCGAATATGGCCTCTACTCGTGAAAACCAATTATCCGACCAATATGTTTTCCTTCCCTTGGAGGTAAATGAACTAATGAAGAACAGAATATTTTGCCGGGTTCCATTGGGAGTAGAGAAAGCAAAACCTGTGTTTTGTTTGTGCAAGCTATATGATTAAAACTAAAAAGTATTCTCTCTTTGTATTAATCCTTCTGTTTATACGGATGTACGTGTTGTTATTCACATACTACTTCAATTTGGAATGGAGATAAATCAATATCTCTTTATGCTTATTCCGATGCTTCAATGCTGCTAGCTGCAGTCTTCAGTCTTGACTCCTTATGGTACAAACAACTTGTGTTACTAAGCCATAAAAGGGATTCGTGAGTAGCTACTGTCTCATGACATTTCATTAATGAAGTTGGTGGCGATGTGATTGTTGAAGAGTATATGGATTCTTACCCCCACAACATTGCTCTTATATCTGCTGTACTCTTCTTCATTACTAGCATGCAGAACAGAATCACCATTGTCTCCCCAACCACAAATC